TGCTTTGTTTCCTGTCTACTAGCCCGAATTGTTGATCCTTCCACATTCCTTTATGTAATGTTCACTTTTTTATTATTTATTTGTTGATTTATGATTTAATAAGATTTTATAATTTGAAACCAGTCAAAATTTTAATTATACCAATAATAATTATGTGCTAATAATGTTTTTTTTTGCTCCCTATCCCAAGAATTTTTGATCGAAAATAAAAGAAAAAAATGTTTGTCACGAGATCTGCGAGAATACAACAAAAAGTTATGTACGTATATGTACATAATTATATTTATATATAATATAACACAAAAAATTAAATTTAAATCAAAAACAATGAACGCAGAGCAGAACTTTTTGTGTGGATCATATTACCACATCAACCTCTTCACTTCACTGAATAATGTATGAATGCATGACATGAGCCGATTAAAAAATTTTTAAGTTTTAAATTTCAACGTTCGATACGAAACAGCAAGACGTCAGTATCTCTAAGATATCGTAATTACGTGTCATTTAGGTAGGTGCCAGGGTATCGGATTTCAGTATTTAAAACCCTTTTCTGATATGTTTAGTCAATTGTGTGGAAAATATTTAATATCTCGTCAATGAAATTTTGATTTTTATGCGCTCAGTAATGCATTATTTTTTTTTTTTTTAACTGTACAAGAACGTTTCAATTTTTTAACTCAAGCAACAACCTTGAAAAATCGGTTATATTTAGACAAGTTTCAAACGAAAAGAAATATTAGATTGAATTCAACATAAATCGCATCAAAGACTTAAAGTATTTAATTTGAAGACAAAAAATCAAAATTTAAAGTAATTATGAAATATTTAAAACAAAATAATTACAAATTTTTAACAAAAACAAAAATGGAATTTTTTGTAGAAAGCAATTGAACCTTAAACTTTATATCGGTCTTATATATATATAATACGAATATTATATATATGACGACATATATGTAGAAAAAAAACAACAAATTTTTATTGTTCTTTATCAATTCAATTTTATAGATTTTAATAAATTTTATTTTCTCTTTTTATTTATGCACTGAAGAAAATATAAATTAATTAAACAGGCAATAAATTAATTGCCTTAAGCGATCATTTTACCGGAATCATATTTTTTGATGCTACTTTTAAATTTAAAAGATTTTTATATATGAGAATAGCATATATGAAATGGAATACTATAGTAGTTATGTATTATTTTTCCTAACACATTCCTTTTGAAACCAAAAATAGATATTCTAACAATTGTCAAACAATTTCATGACACCCAAAAATTGGAATCTGTCTGTGGGAGTCTTAACGAATTATTCTTAAGCGAAGTATTTCTAAATTTGCGAATATGTGATAAAAAAGAAACGAAATTTTTAGAATTGCATGTCCGTAATCTTATTTACCGACTTACTTTTTGTGTTTTTGTGTATTGGTTGCACTAATAATATCCTGGTCAACTCTGAGGCATCTGCGATACCTAACATAGTTTAGTTTTTTTATGGCCAAACGACGGATGAAAGATTTAAGCGTGATTTTATAGCAGTCAATGGAAGCCTTTGTCGATGATACAAACATATATCAAAACCATAAAGTTAAATGATTGTAATGAAGAAACGGATTTTTGCGTCACAAAACGATCTTTTAGAATATGCCAAAGCCAAAGGTCTGGTGAAGATAGACCAGTCAACACAAAAAGGAAATATTCATGCCAAACATGGTAATGTTCTGCATTTGAAAAACAGTTAAAGTAGATATGATAAACGATTTAAATCCTTAAACATTTAAATGGCTAGCATTTATTGCTGTACCTGCTACAATCTTTTGGAAGACTAAGCCTGGAAAGTTTTACTTCACTCTCCATATTCGTCAGAAATTGTTTATCAGAATACTTCTAGCTTCGGTTGATAAAAAAACAGTTAAATAATTTTGAAAAACTTTAAGAATGTCTACTAAACTGATTTACTTATAATTATGAGGCACTCTTTCAAAGTTGCATTCATATATATTGTCTAAAAGACAATAGTACAATGGGAGAAAGTAATAGCTTCTGATTGATAGAATTATAACATTTTTTATTAAAACTCAGAATTTTAAAGAATTGAAAATCACAAATATTTTAAAACTTTCTATTAGGTTCTATTATTTCTGAAATCTAGAACTAACGTCCTTTTCGCACGAAAAATTGACAAAACTCCATATAAAACTACAAAATTCTACAAAATTTTGATATGTTAGGAAACTTTTTTTAAATGGCTAATAAAAATACTTTCTTAAAGCAAAAACATATAAATAAAAAAATATAAATCTGTATTAAATGTAAATACGCTTTATTTATATAAAATTGTCTATACTTAAAACTGAAAATCCCAACATAATTTTTCCTTCTTATTTTTATATCAACAAATTTCTCTTCAATAATTAAAAATATTCTATTATTATAATGGCACACTTGTTGATACATAATATATGTATATACCTATATTATGTATGTACAAATTTATTCATATACTTTATAGGTATATTTCAATGAGAAATAATTGTATATAAAATGGCTAAGAAATAGTGATACTGTGTGCCTTTTTCGTGCAAGAAACAAGCAAGTTGAGGACATACATTTAAAAAAAGATTAATTTTAAAATAGCAATTAACGTAAAGTTATCGTACCTGACGATGAACACTGATTCCCGTGACCACACGATAATGATTATGACGACTATTAGTTAAGTTGGAGCAGCAGCTGTGATCGACAATCAACTCATTGACCGTTTACCATCGTTCACACATTGTTAAGTCGGAACTCTTTTTTCTCCACAGCAATTAAGTAATGAACAATCCCGTTTGCTCACACTTGGTAACTTTTGCTCAATAAAATCAAACCATACTAAGCCAAAAAAAAAATAAAAACAAAAAAAAACTCTAACAAAACGCAATACAAAAAAAAATAAGAAACTACACATGAACGTTTAATGACGATGTTGGATTATAGCTCTATTAGGTGATTTGGCTTAAAGACAGGCCTTTCTTAATTCAGACATCATATCAAGTTCTTTTAGTAATATTTTGGTAGGGCTTTGTTTTCTTTTGTAAATTTTCATGCCGTTTTATTATTATTATTTTATTTGAGAAATATGTATGTATATGGCATATATGCACACATATAACCGAACATATCTGCTGCTTATTTTGTGATGGTAAATATAAATTGCAACATTCTTGAGGTACATCAGCACTAATGTGGAAAAATTCATCATACACATCACGCTGACTCCTGCACTGTCATAATTATCAGTTAGACTACCACGATTTTACCGCATTTAGTATACCATTGGCCCGTCATTAATAACAAAGACGACTCGCCTCCTATGCGGCCACAGCTACAGTTGCTACAGCTACAGACGCGGCAACTGCTCGTGTTGAGTGATTAATGACAATCACACCATTCGTATCACTCACAATGTTGTATTCCCAACATATTCATACCAATACCAATGAGCTGCTTTGAGCTTTAAAAGTTCATATCTGTGCTCATTGTGCAAGTTCCTGCTGCTACTACTGACCACAGTGATTATTAACCAAGTCGACGTCCAATAGCGTGTTTTTGTTCTTCATTTAGTTCAGTTCAGTCCATCTCAAATGAAAAAATGAAATCGTTTAGTTTCTAATGTGCGGCTATGATGAATTGCCTGTTGCTTCTCTCGCTTGACTGTCTGTAAGTTTTCTCATCAGTTGAGAAAAACGTCTTCTGTGATGAATTAATTGAGTTTGGACATTTAAACGAAATATGATCATCATTCTTTTGAAAGTACTTTATGAAAAAAAATTTTCTAAATTTCTCATCTGTTAGAATGTTAAAATTTTTTCATGCATTCATTTTTTGTTATCCAATACACAATAATAAGATGAAATACCAATATACAGTGATAGAAGGACTTATAGTTGTTGATATCAAACATATTAACAGTATATGTCTCTAAATATCAGCACGTTTTTCGAGGCTTAAGTGCAATTTATATTAAAAGCTCCAATTTTATGCTGTTGAATTAGTTTTATAAATCTCAGTTTGACAAATAGAGAAGTTTAGAAAGTCTTAAGTCTTAATTATGGCGGAAAAACTTTTAAAATAATTCAAATCATTTAACCCATCCATGACATACTTGTAATGTTCAATTGTTGTGATTGTCAATGGAATGAACACCAAAGAAAGAGTTTGGCCTGATAAAAATAACGGAATAAGACTTGTTGGATCTACTCAGCTTTATCTAGAAGACAATTTGTCTAGAAGATTAACAATAACAACGGTTGTTGTAATTCGTCTCTCCCAGGCAAGTTTAAGTAATAATAGCAAACGCCTTAACACCCTAATCTGTTCAACTAAATCTTTCAGAAATTGCGTGATTCTTGCAGATTTTGTTTGATGGTGTCAGAGGTTAAGACACCTCAACATTTTATAAAGCAATGTAACGCTATGACAGTTTTAACATTATACATAAAACTATTACTAAACAACTCATTTACTATTCCTAAAATTAAATGGATATCAATTATTGTATTGTAACAAAATGTGTTTTAAATAAATAAAATATGTTTTTAATGACTAAATTGCCGACTTACAAATATACAAACAAATATGGTAGATATAAATAGACCCATTATATAAGTTTTATCATATATGATTATAAATATCAATATCATATACCTCTTTAACTTTTTAAAAAGAGCTAAGGCTTCTAAATAGATTTCTTGCCACAAACATTTTGGGCTTTACTAATGTGCGTACTGTATATTCACAATATATAAATATTTATATATATGTTTTACCATACTGAATATTTTGAGAAAAGATTAATCCTCTTCTGATCATATCAAATACCTACGACTTCTTGGTTAAGCTTCACATCTCATTTATTTACTTTACATTTATATTTTTGCACATAATTATATAAGTTTCGTTTATCAGAACACTTAATTAAGTTTAACATAATTATTATTTTCTTTTTTAGAATACAACATAATCAAAATAACTCTGGTCTCTCATGTCGTAGCCGTCGACCTGATGGTGCGCCATCACCCACACCATCAGATACATCCGATTCTGATATATCATTAGGTACACACTCACCCGTTCCAAGCAGTCTGCAGCTACAACACAGTCCTGGGTCGACATCGAATGGTGCCAACGATCGAGAAGATGTTAGTGTCGATGATGATAAACCACGTAACCTGTCAAGTTCCTTAAAAGTAAACTTATCCTCATATGCGACAGCAGCAGCAGGAATGCCAACAGCATGTTTGCCACCATTTAAACTAGAAGCCGCGACGAGTTTATTTAATGCCGGTTGTTATTTACAAAGCTTTAGTAATCTAAAAGAAATGTCTCAGCAATTTCCTATACAACCTATTGTCATACGTCCGCATCCACAACTGCCTCAAGCAATTGGTCTCAATGGCAGTCATTTACATCCGAACTATGCAACTGCTACGTATCCAGTAGATTGCACACCACCAAAAATTCGCGTCAATTCACCGGAAAAGCTAAATTCCACAGCAAATTGCATAGCAGCAAATTTAAGTTCTGGTACACTACAGGACACTTCAACATTTCATCACAGCTCACAATTATTACACCGGCCTTTTTCCACTTCACCAGATATTATAAAACACAATCCATCGGAAATTACATGATGTAAATGCAAATAGATCTATAAAACGTAAAACCTGAATCCAAATTCCGAACACCGCTACACTATTGATGAGGACTAGTCCTATAACTTCCCACTTATTTCAACTATTTTATGCACCATTCAACGTTCAATCACATTTTCATTAAATAAATGAAATGTTAATATATAATAATAATGCTGGGATATTATGGAGTATTAAAAGTAGCACACATATATATACACGCATTTGAATACATACTTTAAGATATTCTGGATATCTATACAAGTTAATCAGTTGTGCTGAGGAAGTATATAACGAATTCAATTTAAGTTATTCGCAAGTAGTTAGTTGAACCCAAATTCAGACGATTTTTTATATATTATTTTACATATACCTATGTATTAATTTTAGTTATTTAAAACTTTACGGATTTGTGTATATTATATAAAAATTCATCAAAAATTAAATTACTGATTTAAAAAGAATTATTTTAGTTTCAATTTCTCCAAAAAAAGTATAATTTTAATAATTATAAAATTATTTAAGTGTAAATTTAGCCTTGTTTTGCGTTTTTAATAATTTAATAATAATGAATATAAATTATGTATGAACAAATGCATTTGGAACTAAGCAATTATATACAAAAAATATATATCAAGTTATTTTCATTATAATTTTTTATTTTTAGTGTACAATTGTAAATAGCATATAAGATTATAAATTATAAAGCTTAAATTTAGAACGCAATAAAATATATAAATAAGAAATTAATAATTAAAATATTTCATTTGTCTCATTTCTCTATCATCATGAAATATTTTTAATATAAATAATTATAACTGAAACTTTTCTTCACGGGAACAGTAAAAACGAACTGCAACGGACATAGTGCTATAGATCGGATTAGAGATCTATGGATTGGATCTAACTTATAGATAGAAATAATTATGTTAATGACTAGTATAATCATTAAAGTGATTATTTGTATCCATAAGTTAGATTCAACCTATTGATCTAATTCGCCTATAGTATGCAACCATTTCTTTTATGTCTACTTATCTATTTAATATAAACATTTATAGCCGTATTCAACAACGTTGCTAATATAACAGCAAGCTTTTTTTGCCTTTTCGAAAATCAAATTAAAAAAAGTTACTTTTTTAACATCATTTAATTTAACTTCTTCATTATTACAATATCATACGTTGGCTATTTGCAGATGTTCATTTACCTTAACTGTTATCTGAGCTTAACAGATGATTGCTAATCGTAAGATCAGAAATTTATACGTGATGCCGACAAAGTTACTACTATATAGTGGTGATGAATGTGATGTCACATTGGCTGGTAGATTAATCTGTTATTATTCTGATAACAACATATTCTACATTATCTTTAAGTAGTATTTAAATTTAAAGTGATGATGTTTTTAATAGTCGTACAACAAAAAATTATGTACGACAATACTTATGATAATAAAATATGTGAGTATATACTATATCTGTTTAAACTGAATGAGAGAGAATCATTAGGAGTTTTTATTTTTTTAAATTACCTACTATGTTATTGTAGATAGATCTAATATACACGAATTAAAATATCTGATACTAGTGGATCCTGTAGATTCATCTTATGTGACTTTCAAGGTAAATACAATATTTTCAGAGATAGAAACTATGATAATAATCAAATCTGTAAAACTGTAGAGTACTAGGTAAATTGCGTAAAAGAGTATTAGACATATAATAAAAAACTAAAATTTAAACTGCCTTGATATTTTAAAGTAAATTTAATGGATGTTAAATACTCATCCCATTTACAGAATTAATGTTATAATTACTATAATTAATAAATATTTTTACATAAGTACTTTTAATAATATGTGAAGACTAAATATTTTTAAAATTTTTCCAAAAACAATTTTTAGTTGTGGATCTATTTATTTACTAATTGACTTTTCATAAAGAAGCAAAATGGACTTTGAATTGAAAATAGTCTTATGGACTTTCTATAACGCAATAAAATTTGGAGTTTGAATTGAAAATAAGTACTGGACTAAAAAGGTTTATTCAAATTTTGAGCTACCCACAGCTAACATAAGCAAAAATGAACTTCTGAACTACAAAAACTAAAATCATAAAATGAACTTGCCTTGAAGAACTTGTCTAATGTGAGCCAAATAAGTCAAACTTTTTCGGAAGTAGGCTATCTAACTAATTATTATAGTATAATATGTAAATGTTATATTAAAACATCGATTGTTCACAAAAAATCTTCATTCATGATCAAACTACTTCCAAATAATATACCTTAAAAAAAAACTTTACCTAGACTATTTCGGACTTAGGTGACAATGTATATGCTATTTTAGCATATTAGTAAATTTAACTATGAGCTAATACTCTATTAATCTGATTAGTTTCAACTATTACTCTCATTAAAATAAACGATCTTAAGTTGAACTATAGTTAACATATTTCAAATAAACGTGAGTATTCAAATACTCATAGTTCTCATATAAGATCATACAAGATCTTAGTATGTGGTCCTAGTAAGTCACAAACGATTGGTCCAAGTTATATTAGATACCTTTTTTTAATATCGGTGCACAGAAAATTAGATCTGTTATTACGTTATTACGGCGGTATTTAAGTGTCTATATAACATGTTATAACTAGAAGTATAACTGACAATGTTAGTTTAAAATCTTACAGAGTTCGATGTCTGCTAAGTTGTATAGATTATTGCTTTTAACGAGTTAAGTAAATGTTGAAAGAGTGGAAAATTTGAAATTAATTAATTTTTAAACATTCAGCAGTTTTCACAAGATTTAAAGACAACTAGCTCCACCACATAAAATAAGGACCGTGAAGGTTTTATGTTTAAAATTCAGAACTTATAGATTAGATATATTTTCAGTTATCTATATGTCAGATCTACCTTCATACTTGATAAACAATTTAGACAATATGTATGGACTATATTAGAAATAAAAATAGAGTGTTAAAGCTGTAGTTTTCGTTAATATTAGAACAAAACATATGCAAGGTTTCTACTCCACTTGACATTGGCATGAAAAGAGCTCTTGGCTCCAATTTAACAAAGTATGGATTTCACAATTTTTGACACAATATTTTTAAATTAACAGACTTTATACGTACTTTAGGAATTATTAGTGCATTCTAATAATTTGGACCGGAGATATTTAATAAAATAAATAATTTGGGCTTTCTTTAACTGATGCGCCCATTACAGCTTACCCATTTTGTACCGTCTCTGTATAACTAGTTTTATAAAACTCATTACAATCTCTTAAATGAATAGTAATGCCAATGATAATTTGAATTATCATAATAAAGCCATTTAAGAGAACTAACCATTAAAAAATTAAATAATAATAAAAAATTTTATTAGCTTATTTGGTGAGATATGTAGCCTTAATATAACTATAATAGGAATTGAAGCATGAATTACAAGAATACAAAACCTAGTAATAAATGTATATCAAAATAAATAGTGGATTTTAACTGAAATCAATTTTAATTAAATTACTATATAACCATATTCTTTTGTAACCAAAGTGATATAACATAAGTAGTATTTTCAAAATATCAGAGTTTTGAAATACTCCTGAATAAACATAAGAAACCTATTAAGTATTTAAAATTATATCTAATATCTCTGGCGTCACAAAGTTAAATATATATTGAGTACTGTACTGTGAATATATATACATATACACATATCTATATGTATTTTTACATATATTTCAGAGACATTGATGTGCCGAAGAGAATATCTGACTTTTTAATTTTATTTTCATTTTATATTTTGAAATAAAATATCAATTTCTGTGTAAACATCAACAACAAACACATGCTCATTATCATATGCTGGATTCGTACCAAAACGTCAAGAACTCGCACAAATGGCAGAAATCGAAATTTCTCAAACATTTCTAATATAGCTTCTGGCGCCAACGATGACACGTCCGGCATTGGTGGCTATGACTCCGTTCCGTTCTCAACACCATTTTTGTCTGCGTATACATTTTTAAATACAATTAACATTTATGAAAAACTGCAACGTCAAGATAATGATGATGATAATGATGTTGTCCTACTACTTGAGTGGTTGGTTTACTTAGCTGCTTTATAAAAATACTTCGAATACAATGCGGCCAAACGTCATCGATGATCACTAAGATCTTCTGTTAAATGCACCAAAAGTGACGCGTCACTGTCAATATACGAGTATTCTGCTTCTGATGAAGATGGGAAGATTGTCAGGTTAGTTGAATGAATGCTTAGGTATGTATGTACGCATTTGTATTTAGTTTGTATTTGTATATTTTAGCTGTTTAGTTGTGCTCATATAAGCTTCTGTAGTCGATCTTCAAATCCATTTCAGCTATTTGATATCTGAGTTACAATCTGTGTCGATTAGATCAAAAAATAATACACGTCTGCACTGATGGCAGGCAATGGCTCATTGTGATTCCGTGGAAAGTACAGAGTAGACTTGTTATTTTACAATATTTTTCATGTTTTACAAAATAATCACAATTCACTTGGCACATAAGTGCTTCCTTCTTAATTTTGTAAATTTAGGCTCAAATTACAAGGTGAGTCGCACTCTTGAGTGCTTCACCCAATCAACTACAACCAGTCAGCAGAAGCAGCAGAAGCAGCAGCAGCAGCCATTCACTTTAACAGTCGCCAACTGTGTATCTTAACATATACGAATGTATATGTTTGTATTTTGAGGTTCATAAGTAAGCAATTATCTGAAATAGACTTAACTCCAAAATCATCTAAACTAAATTTATTATATTTTAGGCAGGTAATTTTGTATTGTGAGCACATCGGCGCGTATCCATAACTATAATTTAAATTTGAAAACTCACTGCATCATTATGGCTGGGTGAATGATATGACATTTTTACTTTCCTTTACATTGTTGAAGTGTCTTGTCAATTCCATAATGTGAACATTGCTTTGCGAAATTAAAAAAAAAAAGAAGCAAACTCTCATCTGTAGTCGTTGAATCGATGTCACCTTTTGGTGAGCGACAATTTTCTTATGTTTGTACAACACAGCTACGCCAGTAGAAACGCCTTCTTCATGCCCAATTAGCCACAAGTGGAAAAAAGTATAGTGAATATGCATATACTAAACGAGGAACTCAGTCGACTCATAATTGACTACGTATTACCACACAAGCCCCAGTCAATATGTTGTTCATTTTATTTAAACGCTAGTGAGACTCTCATCCAACCACTGCTTTGGTATGCAAGGGCTTTGTCAAGAATTCACCAATCTACATCCCAAAAGTGCAACAAGCCACTGCAATGATAACTGGCAAAACACTAAACAACTATGTGCGGTGACAAAACAAATGCGCATTCTTATCGAAATGTAATGGTAATGCTAAATAATTGACTTTACACTCTCCTCGAGTATTTAACATAATATGTCCTCGTCATTCACGTTTCAGTGACGCAAATTATTGTCACTCGGGGAGTGATGGCAGCTACCACTTCATATTGTGTGTAAGTTCCCGGACGTTTAATATACAACACAATAAGCAGCAATTCAGCTCTTGCGAACATAGCTTTAATCGATGAGACAGTGTGAGGAACAGTTAGATACACAAACTTTGGAGACATACAACTGAACAGAGAGGCATATTTCAATCCAACAAAACTGACAGATTGGCAAGCCTCTGTATCTTGTAAAATAG